CCCAGATTGCTGAGCCCGCCACAGAGATTCTGATTCAGCAGATCTAGGGTGGAACGTCAGCAATTGAGTTTCTTTTCTTTTTTTTTCTTTTAAAAAAAAAAATGGAGTCTCACTCTGTCACCCAAGTTGAAGCACAGTGGCACAATCGTAGCTCACTACAGCCTCAAACTCCGGGGTTTAAGCAGTCCTCCTGCCTCAGTCTCCCAAGTAGCTGGGGTTATAGATGTGAGCAGCCGAGGCCAGTTGAAATTTGGAGGGCTAACAAATTCCCAGGTGATGCTGATGCTGCTGGTGCAGGGACCACACTTTGAGAATCACTGGTCTAGAGCATTGTCATAATTCCCAATCCCTACCAGTCCCACTAGTCTACAGTACTTCTGTCTTAGTAATCACCCTACCAGAGGCTTTCCCCTTAACCACAGAGATTGGTTGTTCATCCTAATAACATCTTGCAACCCTTAGGTACCTTCTCCATCAACTCCAGTTGGCAGCCACCCTGAAAGAGGATAGCATCTTTGTCCCAGGAACTCAAAAAGGACTGTGGAAACTCAGACGAGACCTCATTTTCGTGTTTTTCTCCAGCCACACACCCTGTAAGTATATTCAAGCCTTTGGATTAATGTTACATGGACTACTTCCTTATGGTTGTGTTATCCATAGATAGGTTTTTCCTGAAAAGCACTAATGGCTGAAGTAGCCACAAGTAGTGACAGTGCCTTTTTATGACAGGCCAGTGTACCTAATCATTTCTAAAGGTTTCATCTAAAGAGAAGGCAGAGGTAAGGGGTATAGAGTCTCACTCACACTATTAGTCAATTCTCAGAATCAGGATTAGGGGCATAAGGCTGAAACCTCACAAGATGTGAAGCCAACATGGGGCTTAGAAGTCCTATAGTAACATATCCTAAAACTCATTTCATCCATTCAGTCGTTGAACAAATACTTTCTGCTGTTTGTCAGGCACGATATGACATACTGAGTGTACAGAAGTGAATAAGACTAGCACATTGCTTACCTTCGTAGTCTTTTAGGGAATGTAGACAGTCATGGTTAGGGTAAATTTTGATGGGTTGTAAGGGTATGTTCGGGTGCTATGGCTGCATAAGACAGGAAGACCTAGCCTGGGGTGAGGGGGGCATCATTTCTACCTTTTGTTTTTCTTTCTTAAAAATTGAAAATAACTTCTGCCTTTTGTGGATAACAACTCAGGATGGCAGCAAAATTTTCTCACCCTAAAAGCTTTGAAATAAGGATATAAAATTAAACTTTAAAACTTTTAAGCTTTAAAACTAACACATGCAATTAGAGCAGAGATAAGAAATCACTAGGAAGAAATAGAATAGCTGTCTAGATCTGATCATAACTCCAATTGAAAATACAGATACAACTTAAGAAAGAATGAGACCAATTACACGGTGGCTCATACCTGTAATCACAGCACTTTGGGAGGCCAAGGTGGGCGGATCACCTGAGGTCGGGAGTTTCAGACCAGCCTGACCAACATGGAGAAACCCTGTCTCTACTATATATACAAAATTAGCTGGGCATGGTGGTGCATGCCTGTAATCCCAGCTACTCGGGAGGCTGAGGCAGGAGAATCGTTTGAACCCAGGAGGCAGGGGTTGCAGTGAGCCGAGATTGCACCATTGCACTCCAGCATGGATGACAGGACAAGACTCCATCCAAAAAAAAAAAAAAGAAAGAAAGAAGGAAAGAGTGTGAGAAAAGAGTTTAAGAGTCAAAGCCCAGAAAAATGACACACAGACGCAGGCAGCGCTCATCCACGCTCTATTCTTACCTGTAAGGGCCCTAGTCCAAGGCCCAAAGGATGTTTCCTAATCAGCTCCTCTCAAGCTGTAATATGCACATGAATCTCCTGGGGAACATGCAGATTCAGATTCATTAGGTCTGGAGTGGGGCCTGAGGTTCTGCATTTCTAGCCAACTCCCAAAGCATGCCAGCGGTGTGGGTCCGTAGGCCACACATTGAGTAGCTAGGACCAGGGCGATCCCAGTGACAGGTATAGCCTTATTGTGGAGAAAGATGCATCTGAGGATCACAGCCTGATGGCCTAATCCAAACTTATCTAACCCACGGCCCGCCTGGTTACATGTGGGCCCAGGACGGCTTTGAATGTGACCCAAGACAAATTCTTAAACTTTCTTAAAACGTTGTGAGATTTTTCTTGCGATTTTTTTTTTTTAGTTCATCAGCTATCGTTTGTGTTCGTGTATTGTGTTGTGTGTGGCCCAAGAAAATGTTTATTCTTCCAGTGTGGCCCAGGGAAGCCAAAATACTGGACATTTATGGAGTTTGATTATGCCCTAATCAAACTCCACAAGTCAGTGGTCTGCAAACAGGTGCTGATCTGTGGGAACAGTCCATGAAAAAACAAGAAAGCTCAAGACTATGTAGTGAATTTTGCAGAACTAATTTCTTTCACTTTAAAGGATGTGAGAGTTATTTTTTTTTTAAGTGATGGTGATTGAATTTTTTTTTTTTCTTGATCTCGGTTCATTGCATCCTCCACCTCCTGGGTTCAGGCGATTCTCCTGCCTTGGCCTCCCGAGTAG